TTTACATAATGCCCTATTAGTAACTGTTGTATTCTGCTACCTTTCCTATCCTCTACTATCCCCCCTCCCCTTCCCTCACATCTTCTCTCTCTACCCCATCTACTGTAATTCATTTCTCTCCTTGTTTATTTTCCCATTCCCCTCACAACCTCTTATATGTAATTTTGTATAGCAATGAGGGTCTCCTGAAGCCAAGGTTTTTTAAAAGGATGCTTTTAGAGGATTTGGGTTTCTTCAGTAGAAACTATTGGGGGGAAAAATCCTCTTCTGTTCAGAATAGGGGAGGAATCATTTCTCAAAATAGTGTTAACACCTAATAATTGAATATTTAAAAATTTTATATACTTACAAATTGAATCTTACCTGARTAATAGAATTCTTAAGTGAATACTAATAAATGAAAGATGTTATTCATGAAAAATTACCATTCATAGTATGCATACAACACTATTATAAACATTAAAACTCCAAGTTACACCTTTATTATAAACTCTTTGCTCAATACAAATTGTACTTTATCATAATTAGTCAGATTTTATTGTAGTGACACATATATAAACTTTCCCAAGAACAATACTGGATTTATTTCAAATATTTAGAAAAATATTTATTAAACCTGTTATACCACAGTTTTGAGGAAGCTTTAAAAATACTTAATTGGTACTTATTCAAACATCTAACTATTCATTTGTATTTATTTTAGTTTATGATTGAAATAAAGAATTCTGCAATATCTTGTATACCAGCTGATTGGGTTAAGGTTGGAAGGTAGGTTTAAAAGCAATTTTTTTTTATACCTTTAGTTATAATGACGTCTGTATACCTCTTTGCTACCAGACTGTTAATAGCGACAATCTTGAGAATAAAAGCAAGTTTCTCCCTTGGATATTCCTATGAAATTTTTAACCAAAGAGATAATTGTAGCAATTTTTATCATTGATTTAAAAATATTTTTCAAAGGTATATCTTTGTTTTCTTTCTTTTTTTGTAAGTTTCCATTTTATACTTGTAGGTTATTGTACACAAGGAAAAAAGGTTGCAGAACCTTCAATTGTAAGATTAATTTGGTTGCTTGAACTTCTTGATGAATCTGTGCCTGACATTTCTTTTTAGAAGCTGAAATTTCATTTTCTACCTCACTGAACTTCACATTTCTTTATTCTTAATGCTTTCCTTGGCACATAGTTATAATAGTTCTTTACATCTTCTTTTTGTAGCTTATATTTATATCATGAATCGATGATATAAAAGAATCAAAAACAAAATTAGAGAACCACATTGAGATTCTGTATTTTCTCCTTGGTTAGCATTAATCTTCCAGAGGGGACTCACTTAAAATARTATTAAAGCAGTGTATACTCCTGTGAATAGTATCCGTTTTGGATTATTTGTTAGTGCTGTTATTAATAAGTTTGAATGAATCTGAGATGAAAATTTTTTTATTTACCTAAAACGGTTTTAGAGAAACAAGTAGCKGGTAAACATATAAAGGAACTTGGTTAAAGATGAAGGGAAATTTTGACATGATATGTGAATAATTATTAATTATTTTAATTAAAAAAGAAAACTATTTATTATCCATTGCCAGAACAATAGATGCCGAAGGCACATGCCTGGGTTTGTTTAGCTCTGATACCATCTTTTTTTCCTGTGTTATTAGAGCTGCACTATAGATATGAGTATTGCTGATTTGGGGGAATTTTTGTTTCTTTGTTGGCCTGTTTTCCTTTATCTACTTTTGCTCTGTATTACAGCTAATGAATGGCAATATGTTTTATGAAGAGACATTACTTGTAATCATGTTAGTCTACCTAGAACACTAACTGAAATGCCTCAGTAAATGAATTTTGCCAGAAGAGAAGGCTATGATAAATGTTTGCATAGAAGTCTAGATGATGTAATTTAAAAGCAACAAGGAAAACATAAATCAATGTCAGCATTTGTGAACATTCAGTGGTAAATTGAATGAACAAATAAAATGGTTTGGGGAAAGTTCATTGCCATTTTCTTCTGGTCATCAAGGTCTTGACATAATGACATATTAGAGTATTATTAGTTGGATTTTGAAAGTGAAAGATCCACACCCGATGAGCAATATGACAAATGAAAGATAACTGGAGCAGTGTATTGCAGGAGTGAGGTAGCAAGCAAAGATCAGAGCTCACCCTCATCTTTTCTGCTTGAAGACCTATCATCCTAGTAGTGATGACATCACTTGCAGTAGCAGCCACCTAATACTTGTTGAGTACTCACAASTAGGTACTCTGTTAAGTACTTCTCTTTCACCCTATAGAATAGGTAGATACTATTACAGTCCCCATTCTACAGCTGAGGAAAGTGATGTTTAGAGAAGTCCATTCTGTTTGCCCAAAGTCACAATAGTTGGTCAGTGGCAAGATGGAGACCTTGGCCTAAAGTCTTTTCCTGTTCTTCAGCCTTTGTCACCTTACTTTGCTGTATTTGCTTCTCATTTTTTTTTTTTTAGGTGAGCATTATCACAGTATAATTTAAAGGAAAAAAAAGCTTTTTTTTTTTTGCCTATGAAACAAGAATTCTAAAGTCTGACTTTGCCATACAGTTTGAAATACATTTTAAAAAGCTTCCTGAAAAAGGTCATATTCTTAGGAATCAGTAGTTCAGGACCATAAAATAATTAAAGAATGTTCTCTATTTACAGCTATTTACTTTCAAGGTTCATCAGTGAATAATAAATAACTCCTTTAATTTTCTGAAGTGATGGCATTGCTGATTCTTATAACCTTGATTTCATATTTATGTTTTTCCCCCTCTTCTAGCACAAAGGCTGTGAGCCGCTTTCACTCTCCTTTTGTTGTAGAAAATTACAGACATCTGAATCAGCTCCGGGAGCAGCTAGTCCTTGACTGCAACACTGAATGGCTTGATTTTCTAGAGTGAGTTTGCAATGATAAATATAATSTGACTTTTTGCTATGAGAAATAGACCGGAAAATCTTTCCATCAAAAAGAAAAGTAGAGATTACTGCTTGTGACCTGCTATAAAATAGTTGAGTATTTGTGTTCTTGAGTTTTATTTTTAATCCATTGAAACATAAGCTTGTTTTAGTCTTTGGTGAGACCAAACACACATTATTGTTTCTGCACTAACATTTTGTTGTTAATAATGTTTAGTAGAGTCACTTTGAAATTCTACCTTGGAATTTACCTTTCTTATTAAAGACTTCGTGTCTCTTTCAGAGATGGACAGGTTTGGGCTAGTTGCTTTGTTTTTATTATCTCCATTTAATTTTTTTAATGAATTTATTATGTTTGTTTGTGTGTGTGTGTGTTTGTTTATTTATTTATTTAATGTTGGGCTGAAGATCGAACCCAGTGCCTCACACATGCTAGGCAAGTACTCTAGCCCTTAGCCACATTCCCAGCCCTCCATTTAATTTTTTWAAAAAATTTAACAGCCTGTGTTTTTTTTTCCTGCTTGTGGTTTTGAAGATGTTTAAGTCTACCAGAAAGTTGAAATGACCACCTTTATACCCTTTGTCTGAATTTATCAAGTTTCAACTTTTTTTTTTAAGGGGAGAGAGAGAGAGAGAGAGAGAATTTTTTAATATTTATTTTTTTAGTTTTCAGTGGGCACAACAATTTTATTTATTTTTATGTGGTGCTGAGGATCGAATCCAGTGCCCCGTGCATGCCAGGTGAGAGCGTWACCGATTGACCACATCCCCAGCCCCAAGTTTCAACTTTTTGCTGCATTTGTTTTGTATCTCTCATATGTATTTAATGTATATATATTATATGTATATAAAACACATATATATACACACATTTTTTCTGAACATTGAAAGTAAGTTTTAGACATCATAATACTTTATCCTTAAATAATTAAGCATAAGTCTTCTCAGCATAAGAACATTCTGCTATATAATCTTAAAACCATTACCATACCTAAGAAAAATTAATATTAAGAATATGTTTGAATGTCTTGAATTTCCTGAACACCTCCCATCTCTTATTTTTCTTTTTTTTTTTTTTTGTTTAGTGGTACTAGATATGAACCCAGGCATGCTTTGTCACTGAGCAACATTCCCAATCCCTTTTATTTTGAGACAGTCTTGCTAAGTTGCTGAGGCTGCCCTTGAACTTGCAATCCTCCTGCCTCAGCTTCCTGAGTTACTGTAATTACAAGCATGTGCCAYGATGTCCAGCCCCTCTCCAATTTTTAAATGAAAGATCTAGTTAACTTTCACACAATGCATTTGGTTATTATGTTTCTTTAGTCTATTTGAATCTGTAATAGTTTGCCACCTTTTTTGTTTTCATAACATCACAAAAGAATATGATACTTATGGTATATTATTAAATAAAGAAAATGATATAAAATAATATTGAAATATGACACAACTTATGTGTATATTCATATAATGCACAGCATATAAACATATTTTTAAAGATAGAATGCATATATATGCTAGTGTATTAATTATTAGTTTGCTTATTGACCATATGTATATCTTAAAAGATATATGTGGACACACAAACACACATACAGTGGCCTTTAATTTGCAATGGGATCACATTCTGATAAGCCCATCCTAAGATGAAAATATCATTAAGTCAGAATACAATTAATTAAAAAATACAATTAATTCATCTCATAGCTTAGCATATCATACCTGCAACATGTTCAGAACACTTACATTAGCCTATAGTTAGGCATCTTGACAGAGTATCACACCACATATTACTATCCTGAGAAAAAAATCAAAGTTCATTCAAAATATAGATTCTACTGAGTGGTTATCATTTCTACACCATTGCAAAGTTGAAAATTTATAATTTGTACCATTGTAAGTTGGGGATCTTCTGCTGGTAGACTCACGATGTTAACTGATTAGTTCTAGATAGTGAGATCAGTAGTGATACTAAATCCTCTATTTTGCCAATACATGATTTATTACTTTAGAACTTTATATAATGTGCATATATTACTTTAAAAATAAAGATGTGCATTAAAGTTTTTATTAAAAAATGTTGCATGAATTTAGCTAGAGCATTTGCAGCTAGAGCCCCATTTAAAAAAAAACATTGATTGTTATGCACACTGTTTATTGAGCTGCCAGATGGTGTGAATATGATATCATAAAAAAAAGATTAACCTCAATGAACCTGACATCAGAGGATTGAATACCAGCAGTAAGTGTATTATCCCTGACTGAGGTACTAACTGTTGTGCATTAGTCATATTACTTTTGATAAAAATGCTGCAAAACAATCAAGGCTATAAACACTGCTGCCACTAAAATTCTTTCTCAAAACAGGTAACTCTTTTATATTCTGGAAGATGAAATCTGGATTTTGAGTAATCTTCTCAATTGCAAATTTGTTAAATTTTCTCAGATAATAGTTCCGATATTTTAGAAATGAATTTGAAAGTAAAATGTAAAGTATTTTTTATTCATATTAGCCCCCAATATTTCTGAGCAACATTTGATAATAAACTTCTCTAGTCATCATAATAGCTTTAAGTATCTTCACCTAATTCCCATAGACCCAGCAACCTCTTTTGGCCAGAAATTAATTCACTGTGCTTTGACTTCAGCCTTAAATTTATTGTGATAAGGTTGCATAAACTTGATCTTTAGGATTGTTATCTGAGTTACCCATCTTTCAGCTTGTTGTTTTTCTAAGTATGGATTATCTTTGAAATTTGGTAAGGTGTTGAAAAATAGAAAAAAGCCAATAAATCAAACAAGACTTCTTTAATAAGAGTAATGATGATGTTTAAAGTTTATGATAATTTTCATTTATTCATATGCCTTATTTTATTCATCATTGACATGAGAAAGAACATTATTGTCCATATCAAAATAATTATCTTATCCTTTATTTCTTTTTGTGTTTTATTAACTGAAATTGTACCCACTGAAAGCTATGTTTATTCTTTACATCCTGGAAATTAGAATATTATGAGAGACAGTTACCTTCAACCCTGAGGGTGCTGGGTAGTAACAAATCAGGGTGGCTTGTACAAGATCTGAGTAGAGAGTGAGAGTAAAAAAAAAACTTAGTGCCAAAATTCTTTGACACCCATGTCCAGAAAGGCAAAGGTAGAAACATCAAATATGACTGCTCTCTAGTAAGAGAGGGTCCCAGGATGAGAAAACCAGGGCTATTTGTTATTAGGACAGGGATAGCATAGTCCAAGGGGTAAATGAGAGGTCAGCTTTCCAACCAGAGCCAGCTCAGGAATAACAAGGCACTGTTACTGGTCAGCCACCTTCCAGAGTTAGGGCCTTACAGCATATGGCATCTTCACAACTAGGAGGCTTGCTTATGTATGTATGTATGTATGTATGTATGTATGTATTTATTTATTTTCCCCTCTTTCTATCCAGTACTGGAGATGAACCCAGGGACATTCTAACTGAGCTACAACCACAGATCTTTCTCATTTTAGAGAGAGAGTCTGGCTAAATTGCTGAGGCTGGCCTCAAACTTGTAGTCATCCTGCCTCAGCCTCTGAGTTGCTGGGATTATAGGTGTGCACCACTGTGGTGGGCTACTAGGAAGCATTTTTAAGGTGGCATCTGAGGACTTCCTGACTGATACTAGGGATGCATTCCCACTGTGTTTGGGATTTACAGGCTCTTAATTCATAAATTATATGAATTACTGTTAATGTAATTCATATAATTTATTTTGATGAACTTTAATTCAGTGAGAAGTAGGTAATTAATTATGCTTTGTCTATTCAAAGAAGTGTACTRTGAATATATTTTTTCATTTCACACTTAGTCAACACAAAAATAAAGCTAAATACTTAAAATGTTCCCAGTTTTCAGAAAATATCATTTTCATAGAATATCATGATAATTCTAGAAAAATCCCAGAAACAATTTTTTTAAAAAATCAAAGACAGTGATCATTTATAGGAATAATTGATCATTGTAATAACAATGGGATATCCTTTTAAGCTATGAAGCATTCTGAAAATGTTTGGAGTTAAGTAACAAATAGACTAAATCTCAACATTTCTGAAAAACTCTTTTTAAGAGAGGTTTTCCAATGTAACTCCTCCCTCCCTTTCATAGCACCATATAACAAAGAGCTCAATTTGAATCTTGGTGTTGCTATTTAATAATTGTGAGACTGTAGGCTTTATTGCTTTAATCTCTCTGAACTTCATTTATAAAACTTAGGTAATTAAACCTACCTTGATGGTTGTTATAAAGAAATATAGGTGCCTTTCTTAGTCACTGGTTAGTAAATATTGATTTTTCACTTTGACTTTTTATTGGACCTTCTTTGTAGTTAACTTAGTTATCATTATATTCCCTCATTTTCCAATCTTTGAAGAATTTGAGGCTTATCATCACCTAAATTTAAATTTTTTTAATTAAATAAAAGTTGTTAATCCCTCTTGGAAGCAGAATAATTATTGTAAGAATTTAAGCTTAGTTATATATTTTATCTTAAAAAGACAATTCATCCTATGCATTTTAAAAAAATAAGTTTTGGATCCTTTTTGTAGTATAATTATATCTATTTCAAATATCTATAACAGATCATTACAAACAGATGTTCACAATTTATATGGTATGGTACACATTGAAATATAATACTATGATACAAGGTAATTGGGCACTTTAGGAAAAACAACAACAACAAAAACACCTGTACACATTTCTACACTTTTCCTGACCAAGTCTTTTAATAAGTCTTTTAAGCTTTTAGATCACCAGGTATTATAGTTTAACTGGCCAAAGATTTGAGACAATGACTATTTTCTTTTAAAATACAAATCTAAAATTAAATTTTTATAAACATTATTCATAGGATAACTGAAAAAAATTACTTTTTCCCCTTGCTTGTCTTTAACAACTACTTATTACCATATCTATTCTATGATAAGAGTGTGGAGTAGACACTAGGGGTACAAAATAGGTGAGTCTGCCTTTGAGAGGCTTCCAGTTCAGTGTGAGAGGTATTGAAATTGTTATTTTAGGTTTGGATGTTCCTGTATAGGAGGAGCCCAAAGGGAAGCTCACCTGTCTGAGTAGCTTATGATATGTTGGAGCTTAATGCAAATTATTTCTTATATATAAGTTGTTCATTATATATAAGTTGAAATATCATAGTCAGATGAAATGTATAGTATAGTATAAATAGTAGGTACCTGTATATACAAGGTATATTAAAAATAAAGGTAGTTCAACCGAGTTCCCATCTGTCTTACTTGTTAGGTGTACTGCTTATTTGGGGGGTTCTTACATTAGCATAGCTCTTACAGATCTAAGACATTAACTTGATCATTTTGTTGTTGTTTCTATAGGAATTTCAGTAAACATTATCACTCTTTGTGTAAAGCAGTGCATCACCTAGCAACCATTGACTGTATTTTCTCCCTGGCTAAGGTCGCAAAGCAAGGAGATTACTGCCGGTAATATCTTTTATCTCTTCTCTTTATCATTGCTTCAGATGAAATTGCATTATTCAATTAATTCTAKTGTCTTTATTATAAAATATTGCAGTTACTCAAATGTGTCAGATTTTTGGTAAAGTGAAATGTCATACACATAAAGCTTGATTTGAAAAATAACAAATTCCTTTCTTCTTCCACCTATTAGTACAACGAAAGCAGATGTTTCTAACTCTAGAAATGAATGTTATATTTCTAATTTTTAAGTTTATGTGGTCAATATATTGATAAAGTTTGAGTACCCCTTTCTTATGTTGACATTGATTTGAAGACTTTACATCATTTTAAACTTTATAAAAGCTTGATTAGGGCTAGGACTGTGGCTCAGCAGTAGTGCACTTGCCTAGCATGTGTGAGGCACTGGGTTTGATTTCCAGCACCACATATAAATAAATAAAAATAAAGATCTATCAACAACTAAGAAAAAAATTTAAAAAGAGAAAAGAAAAGCTTGATTAGCTAAAAAAGGATTGAAGGAGAATGGACATTTCTGTGATTTTTCTCTGTTCCTCCTGAGAGCCCAAATTCATCCCATTATTCTTTATTGGCTTTTAAACACTCCAACATGGTTTATTCTCCTTTCCATTGTGGATGTTAGTATGAAATAAACCTAACTTTAAATTTTAGCTCTAACTTTTAGGAAAATTTTTGTCTTCCAAAAGCTTGAGGGACACACACACACACACACACACACACACACACACACACACACACAAATATACACACTCTTCAGAAGAGTTAAAAAATATTTAACTAATTGGCTTATTGTGGGGACTAAAAAGAAAGCCTATATATGACAGTGCCTAGCAGTATCTATTACCTACAGAGTTCTTAGTAGGCAGATTTTGCTATTTATATTCTTTCATGTTTTGGTTTCTTCTTGTCACATTAGAGGGATTTGAAGGTACACAGATTTGCATTGTCAGTCAGTTACCAACAGGCATTTTAGAACTGAAACAGTGCAGTAAATGGGAAGGAAGGGAGTAGAATTATATATATGTCATCTGTTATAGAAGGCTTAGAGTCTACAATCAGTTGACTTTTTGAAAGATTGAGGATTGAATCCAGCTTTACTATTCAACTATGTGTCCAGGCTTTTTTTTTTTTTTTTTTTTTAATTTTGAGACAGGATCTCACCTTGCTAAGTTGCTGAGGACACTAGCAGTCTGGTGTTACTTAATTCCAATCATGGGTCGAGGTAATGTATTCTTCTGTCTGATGAGCAGCCCTAGCTATTTCAGTCCAGCACATATCTGTCCACTGTTCTCAGCCCACTACCTCAGAAAGCAGCCAACACCCATAGGGGAAGACTGGCTCTTCCATGGGCCTTGGTCCTATCCCAGGTCCTACCTGGTAATTCTTTGCTGTCTTGTTAGTTTTTAGGTGCCTTTGGGTAGCTCTTTCCTATACTTTGTCTAGCTTTTCTCCTTGGCTCAGTAGGAAGATTGTTCCAAGTTACCTAGTTTGTCAGTGAAACATTTTAGGACATTTCATTTTGGCATTTCACATATCAAAAACTGCCCAAATTGGGCACTGCATATATTAAGAAGAATCAATCTAAAAAAATCTAAATAAATTATGCCATAATCTTTCATAGTCTTATCAATCTCTTTTTTGGCAAAAATTAAACTGAATGTAAATAGCCATGAAATAGGAGATTTCTATCTAAAATTCATTTTAAATAATACATAAGTATCTGAAGTTTGTTTTTCTTAAATTTCCAGCTTATTGAAAGACATTAGTGCTTTTGAACTGTTTTATTTTAATTCAAATTGATTATTTGACTTTATAATTGAAATCTTTTCTAAACACTATTAAGATCTTTTTATTCACTATAGTCTAAAACTTTAGGCAAAAGTTTTTATTCTAGGGTCTCTTAATCCAATTTATATAATGAATATTATACTGTTTTAACTAATGTAGATTATCTTGTTTCTCTGGATCAGTTGAAATAGAAAGATGTAATTTTAAAAATATAAAGTAAAATAAATAAATTTGTTCAAGTTCACATGGTTCATTTTTTTTTCCAGGAAATGCCTGGATTTTCTCAGTTCTTTCCCCCTTGTGGCCATAAAATATCATTAATATGCTTTTGCCACTTTTCTAGCTATAAATATTCTGTCCTACTGTAACATCCCAGCTCCATTGATTATCCTTTACTGTATTCTACCAGGAAGTGTTTTATCATTATATAATTTTGATAGCAACAGAATAAGTCAGTGAAGCAGAACAAATCACTCAAAATTTTGTCCTGAAGTGAAAATCTTTTTGGGAATCACATATCAATGTCATGAATGTGATATAGTGATTTCACTTGGCAGAGCACCTAGGATTTTTTTTTAAATTGATATCACAAGTGTTTCGTTTTTTTTTCTCTTGTAGTAAATTCATAATCCATCTAGAGAAAAATCCTATGTTAGAATTATACTCTAAAATCCAAGAACTGTAATTTTAATGTTCCTCTCCATGATGATGTCAAATTATTTACTCAGGAGATACCTAAGTCACTTTCTTTGAAAAATATGAGAGTATTTTCTTGAGATTTTATTAGCCAGATATATGAAAGAAGAAGRATGTTATGTATTTAGGAAAATGGTGTTTCTTGGCATAATAAGTATGTTCTGAAAGTCTTCATATATAAAGTTCTGGGTCAGACAACTTGAGGAGGTTGTTCGTAGGATGCTATGCTGAAAAACACCAATACATGGCCAAGAAACTGATGAAAAGATGTGCAGCATTAATAATCAGTAGTTACAAATTAAAACGATGAAGGTAGCAGCATTCACCCACCACATGGTCAAAAATTTAAAAATTTGAATATATCAGCTCTATTGAGTGTATAAAAAACAAGTCAACTTTTATATCCTGCTGACACAAAAAAAGTAAATTGGTAGAACTTCTCTTGAATATTGAAATAAAAAGTATTCATACCCACTTCAGGAATTTTCCCTGGCTTAGAGAAACACTTGGACACATACACATATAAGGTTATTTATTGCAGCATTATTTATAATAATGAAAACTTGGACACAGTGCACAGTGATAGACAATGACTAACTTATTTATGCAGCAACTTCAAAAGAAAACTGAAACTCTGATAATAAATGATCCTTAATTTTCAGCATACTGTACTATCAGGGTTCATTGGACCTAATTTCAGTTTTTTAAGGGTTTTCCAAAGATCAATGAAAAAAATTATCTTTTTTTCATTTAAAATGGAGAATAAAACTCATTATGTCTTATATTTATCATGTGGGTCCATTGGACCCTTTAATCAATCTGAGATAGACTTTGAGATCTTTAGTGAATTTTGAAATATTTATTATTTCAATATCCTAGGGGCTATTTCACATTGTTTTCAGTTATTCCAACTATGATATAAAAGCCTAAAATAAAAAGAAATCTGAAGAGTGATAATGCAAAATGAGGGAAAAAATATTACCTTTTTGTTTTCTTATCATGTTGCTCAAAGTTTGCATCATCTTTGAAGAAGGTATAAAAGAAAAGCGCAGGTGCTAAGGTTGTAATCTGCTGATAACTTTCATTGGGTAGAGTTGAGAATTCAGAAGTTTTCATCTTTCACCTATAATAAAAGGTAAAACAGTTGACAAAGGACCATTTCACAGTTAGTAGGTTAATCAGAAGATGAAGAGAAAGATGGTGTTCTAAATACTGTTGACAATAAGGCATCTCCTATATAAACAAAATCTGCAATTATAAATGCTCATATTCAAATATAAATATTTTTAGTCAATATTATTATTAAAAGTTGATGTGTCAATAATGTATTTGTAGGGCAAGATAAAATATGCTATCCTCATCCAGTCATTCCATATGAAGCATTTGTCATGTAATATTTAGTGACTAGAAACTGGATAATCCTGTTTTGTTAAAAGACATACATCATGGTTTTCTGTCTTTCATTGTAGTTGTTCACCAAAATTTACTTGATGCAGTTTATAGGTGAACAGGCAGGAGGAGATTGAAAAGAAATGGATGCTATAGAAATGAAAATATTAATTTGATTAATTATTCTAATTGGTGTCTATAAATCTAAAAATGAAAATGTTTTGTGATTATGGAACAAAAGAGTTTTAGCTCTCCTTCCAGAAAATTATCAGTTTTAGGTAGTTTTGAATGCATTTTTGTCTCTGAGAATATGAGAAGAACCAGAACAAATGAACTAGAAACTATTAGAAATTATTAAAATTTGGAATTCAGTATTTATAAATGAATGTATTCCAGGTGCATGCATAAAAGTTGATAATGCAGTTATATTCAGAATGTGTTACCCTATTTCAGTTATATAAACCTTGAAAACCAGAAAGCTATGAAGTAAAAATGTGACATTTGCCAGTTTTAAATTCTTTCTAAGGGTTTGGGGGTATAGTCCAGTGGTAGAACACATGTCTAGCATTCATGAACCCTTGGGTTTGATCCCCAACATGCCAAAACAAATAAGCAAACACATGTACACACACATATATAAGATACATATAATAATCTGTAAAATKATTTATAAAATGGACTTTAAAATATTAAAAATAAGAGTCTATTGGATCAGATGATATTGGTCAAATTGATTTTCTTATGTGTACTGATGGTTTAAATATACTGTTGAGTTCAAAATTTGTACAATGTTATATTGCAATATAACTTTTTTTTAACCAATATGATGTGTCTATAAACATAAATTTATAGATGAAGGTTGGGAATAGGAGACACCAAACTGATCTCAGTGATAACATCTGGGGAGAAGTCCCAGCAGGGCTRGCTCAGGGGACAGGATAAATAGATAATACTGATAAGATATAATGGGTGATAAGATATGAAGGCTTGGAAAACTGATAAGATTCACAGGCTTAAAAAAAATGAGATGTCTTAAAGATAGGCATCTCATTCTCAGATGAAACCTTTCTCACTTAATTACTCCTTACAAATTCTTTGACCCCCATCTACACATTATTTTACTCTAGTTAGGCTCCTCTCTACCCTGCCTCTTTTTTTCTTCTTCTTTCTTTTTTTAAAGTGCTGGGATAAAACCCAGGACCTTGGAAATGCTAAACACATACTCTGACACTGAACTATGCTCCCATCCACCCAAAATAATATTTATATAAAAAAAGTGAAAGATATAAATGATCATAGAAATTAAACAGAATATGAAAATTTTAGATCATTCTGTATTCAGTCCAACACATGAGATTATTAAAACTAAGATAATTATTAAATATAGAAATAATTTTATATGATTTACTTTATTATGCTCATTACTGAAAATAATTCAAGTAGTGATAATCTGAACTGTTACTTTTAGTAATGAAAATATGTTTGATCTTAAACAACAATAGAAAAATAAAAAGGGTCGTGAAAAGGTCATCTGTAGTCTTGGAGCCATCAGAAGATGGCTAAGTTTGTGCTTCAGYGCACAGTTATTCCCAGTTATTATTTTATAGTTAAAATTCTACTTTTATACTCAAAGCCTTATTCTGGCTCTTAATGTCTATGTTTAAGGTTTTGCTGTCTATCTTAGTAACTGGGTACTGAAATTTTTCATGCTGAGAGATTTTTTTTTAAAAAGCTATTTTCATGCCTATAAATTGAAATCTAACTTTTTTTGCAGGCCAACTTTACAAGAAGAAAAGAGAATCATGATAAAAAATGGAAGGCATCCTGTGATTGACGTGTTGCTGGGAGAACAGGATCAGTATGTTCCCAATAGTACAAATTTATCAGTAAGTACCACATTTTAAGAAAAAATAAGTAAAAGATGATAACATTGATTCCAGCTTTTTGGAATATCACATAAGTATTTTTTTAATATTTATTTTGTAGTTATACTTGGACACAGTACCTTTATTTTATTTATTCATTTTTATGTGGTGCTGTGGATTGAACCCAAGGCCTCGAACATGCTAGTGAGCCCTCTACCGCTGAGCCACAACCCTAGATCCATAGATATTTTTTCCCCATAAATATTTTTTATAATTTAAAATTATCCAGGTTTTAACTTTGGCTTTAAATGGACTAATGCTGGGTATAGTTTCATATTCACTATTAAGTATGGAATTGATTCAATTTCCAATGAAAATTTATTCATAGATGGAAAGATTTAGCAACTAAAGAGGATTATCTTAGTTCTCCTAGGTAAAACARTAACAATATTTACCAATACCCAAATATGCTGATGAAATTGGAATCACAACAGGTTTTTGTAAATTCCTATTATCATATAGTGTTATATGCTTTGTCCTGTGTTCAACTATATTCAGATGCTTTGGGAAAAAAGATAAAACAGATGCTTCACCACATTTCCATGATAATTTTCATTATATGGGCTCGAGTTCTCTATAGAACATTAATGACCCTACRTACTTAACTCATTTAGCACATACTTACTGAGTGCCTCAGGTAGTTAAGTGAGTATTAGGAACAGAGAGTAGTAAGCTATTTGAAACTCTTCCCTGCCCTTGCAGAGCCTTGGCCTAGCAGAGAAGATGGGCGGAYGAATATAGAACAGCTTAGTTTGTGCCAAAATGTTGTTAATCAATGTGTTCTGGGAACAGGTAACAAGTTGACCTAACCTAGTGTGGGAAATATGAAGAAGGTTCCCCAAGGTGACATACAGACTGAAGAATGAGTCAGTGTAAGCTAGGGAGAAGGGGGGAAATATGCTACATAGAGGAACCAACCTGGCAGAGACTGGAAGTAAGGCGGACCAGGGTGAACTTAAGGAACTGAAAGATATTGAGTGAGGTAAGAGCACAGAGCATAAGAAAAGATGTGTTTAAAGATAAGGAAGAGGCCAGTTTACTTATAGGTTTTGTTCAGAAATGTACATTCTTAAAAGATTGGGAATACTAGCAAGAGAGTGAATTGGGAAAAATATGAATTGTGGCAGGTGTGTGAGTTATATTGAAGTTACATTATCAGAGCTAAGCAGAGCCAAATACTAATGTGATAAGGATAGATTTTTATCCAGTAATACTGTTGTAATAGGGAAAAGAGCCCAGCATGACTTTGACTTGACTAATTTGTGCAGAGGCTAAAGGGAGAATGAGAAATTGGCAGGGGAGTGAACTGAAAGGGGTGGGGTGAGATTGGTTAATGTGAAACCTGTCTGAATTTGTTAACCTGTACTTATGCCACAGTTCAGAGAGCTAGCTCTTATTCCTTGAGAAGACAGTCTGGGTGGTAAAAGATATATATATCTCAAAGAGGCAGAGAAAGAATTTAGAATTGTAAGCTTTCTAAAGTAACTACTCTAAGAAAGGCCTTAGTGGTCTATCTGCCTATCACCAAGTTTGTGCTGGAACAAGTAGTAAATTCTCCTGGCAGCACTGTATTTTCTCAGACACTGTAAGAGAGTCTGGTTCTTCTAAGGATGCCGTCTTGAGCTGTTGAAAACTATGCTAGTGTTCACGTATTTTTAATGAGGAGAGTGGACTAAATTATTTGTGTTCAGAGTTTATAATTATTGAGGCTGAAGTTGAGACTTAGTTGAGAAAAGGGCAGTGGTGCTGACTAGTGGTTGATCAAGGAGACAGCCTTCATCAACATTAAAATAATGTGCGATTGGGGTCAAAGAATATGTAAGGAATAATTGAGAGATTATATCTGAGAATGAGATGCCGGTCTTTAAGATTTCAGAGGAGGTATTCTTTTGGGTGATGGTAGGATCTAGGTAAGCCTTGGAAGGTGGGTAGCAGAAGGAAGAAGGTATTTGGAAATGAGCTCAAGAAAGAGAATGTGGGAGTCATCCATGTGAATGTTGAGATTGTCGAAGGTACCAAGGGATCTTTTGTGGAAGATGATAGTGATCCAGGTGTCAGAGATTATAGGGCATGGGCACTGGTGGCATAAGGTTTCTAGGTGCCTTCAGTGAAGATAAGCAGAAGTGGTAAGGCCTAAAGAAGCAGAGAAAGACTTCTGAGTCCTAAGTTGCATTGGGTAGGTTGTGGCTCAGCTCCCAAAGAGAGGACTGCAAGGGAGTTTCCATCTAAGTCAGTGTATGAAGGAAATGTTAAGCAAATGGTTAAAAATATACAAGTATCAAGAAATATTTCTGAAGACAATGAAGAATTAAGATGTAGAGGGGCAGTCAGATAGTAGACCAGAACTTCAGGGAGTTGGGACTATTACAAAATATTCCATCTTGGACCATGACTAAGGGGGAGAGACATGTGGCATGGTGAATTTGGCTGGTCACAAGACTGGTAATCTAGTTTCATGTTGCATTTGATATTATACAAAGGCTTATTGGTAGTTTGTAACCCTATTATCTTAGTTGGTTCAGGCTGCCATAACAAAACACAATAGATGGGATAATTTATAAACAACAGAAATTTATCTCTTGTAGTTGTGGAGGCTCAGAGGTCTAAAATCGAAGTCTCGGTATCTTGTGAGGCCCTGTTTCCTGGTTTGTAGATGCTGCCTCACTGTGTCCTCACATGGTAGAAGACTTCACAGATCTCTCTTAAGCCCTCATGACCTAATCACTTCCCAGAGCCCCCCCCCACCTTCTAATGCCATCATCTTGGGAGTTGGAATTTCAGCATATGAATGTGGGGGTGGCAGGGAGACACAAATAYTCAGACCATGGCAATCYAAGGACCACTGTCTGTAAATTGTTTATTCTCATTAGAAAATTTGTCTATTAATATATCAAATAAGACAATAAGTACTGATCCTTTCATTGTCTTTAGAAAGACATAATTCCCTTTTCAGTTCCCATAATAACAATGGGTATAACTTTTCTTAAGTAAGTAATATAGTTTCAATAGATAATAGCTTGGTTTATATTTAACTTATTAGTCACATAAAAATCTTTTCCTGTTACTGGGTTCCCATGGCCATCAGCTAGATCCCAAGTATGTTATTCTTGACCCACTGGCCGGCCTGCCTGTCTTCCTTCCTTCCTTCCTTCCTTCCTTCCTTCTTTCTTTCTCCCCCCCCTTAAAAAAAAACACTACATTATTACTATTTAATTCAGAAAGATTTGAAGAACTAAAATAACCTTCTAATTACAAGGATGTTTTAAAGAAATATTGCACTCATATTTAAATCTTTACAAAATAAATGGAATGATTTTTTTTTAACCATCAGGCACCTCAGAATATTCCAGAATATTCATTTCTTTTACATATGCTTTTTCTAACTCGAGTAGGAGTTGATATAAAACTGTTGCTATGGTGAAATGTATTCTATTTTTCAGGGTATAAATTTATATATAGGGATAATGTTGAGAAAGAACTTACTATGTGAAATTCACTGTATATTATGGCTATTAATTTATAAAATATGCCCTAAAAATAATTTCCTCAAAGTTGAATGGCATTGTTCCTTTGATAACCATTTAGTTTTAAGAAATAGTCTTCCATACATTATAAATATAAATTATAAATATAATTGATTTTCTGGATTCTGTATTATATGAAATTACTCCAGTGCTACTGAACAAACCAACTTTCTGCTCACTTTTCTTCTCCCCATTTTAAGAATGCTTTTTAAGCCCCCTGCCCCCACCCCCACTTTTTCTTCTTCCATAATTCATTGTGTAATCTATGTATTATATTGATTTGGCAGCTTCTGGATCTTCCTACCTTCATCTTGCCCCTCTCCAATCACTCTCCACTCTGTAGACAGCCACAGGGCCTTTTCTAACCTGTCATATCATTCTCCCATTTGAATCCATGCTATATGTTCCAACCATATAGACTTCTTACACTTCCCAAGTATCTGTGGGACTTGGCAGATGGTATCTGCTGCCTGGAATGTCATTTTTCTCCACCTCCCCTCTTCTCACCCACACTCASAACCCACTCCACCCCACTCTCTAGCTAGCTCCTGATAATTCTTCCAGTTTTGTCTTGGATGTACCTTCTTACATGAAGCTTTCCTTTACCGAGGCTGGGATGGGCACCCCAATCTCATACCTACCTATGTTTCTTTCTTTGTATCTATCCCACTAAATTATAATTTCTCTTTTTTCATTTGTACTTCCCAGCAGACTATAAGCTTGAAGAGAACGAGGAATATTTCCCTCTTTTTGTAGGTGTAATTTCAGTATTAATCACACATCTCTAGCACATAACAGGAAYCTAATCAGATTTGTTAAATAAGGATTAAATAGAAGCTTCAGCAGTCTCCAAGTCTCACTTTAAAATTTTGCCTTTTTGTTCCATAAAATGTTACTTTTCAGGATACTATGGGGTTTGGGTCAGGCTGGGGGTGGGGAGGGTTTCACATTGCAGAATAACTGCCCTGTAGAATTAGAAGAAAAATTTTGGATTTTATAGTACAATATCTCTTCAGACTTGTGAATAAAATACATCCCAGAATAAGGAAATAACCTTCCATAGGTTGCCCAAATTGGATAGTCTTAGACTCTTTCCCCAAGCATAGATGTATTCTACGGCAAACCAGTGCTTTCCAAACTTTTCACTTCACTGAACCTAGAAAATGGTAATATTTTGATGATTCACTGGAATCAAAGGAGAAGGCAGAGGTTGCTCAGAGCCAAAGGAGATTGGCCCAGAGGATGTGGTCACCCAGCCCCACCTGCCACCTTGAGGATTAATTGGTCAGAGTCTTGACACACCTCTAGCACTATGAAAAAACAAGACATACTCCTTGGGAACCTTTACTATAAGACACTGCAGTCTCAACCCTCTGTGATTGTTTGTTTATTAAACCAAACAGCTTTCTTTCTATTAAATAGATTTTGATAGCAATT